AAGCTTTTTCATTCAATAAGACGTAATCTTATCTAAACACGGTTAATATTCATTACTCCTATACTAATTCAAGAAAAGGATCGAGAGAGAGAGAGAGAGAGAGAGACTTTCAAACCGCAAGCTTATCGCCGTGCACGTCACTATTTTCGAATTATCTCAAATTAGGGGCATAGGTTAAGTTCGCAACGGTAGATAAACAAATTTTGCCCAATAGATTACGGAAACATTATCTATCTATGCGAAGCGTAGATAAATGTTCGGGAAAACGGTAAAGTAAATACGCGAGTTAATAATAGAGAGTTCATGCAAAAGGAATAATAAAGAAAGAAGCAAAGTCGTTCAAAATTTGTCTGGTAAAACAGCATTCATTTTACATTACACGATCTTCTGCCGTCTAATCGCGAGAAATGTCTCGGAGATCATTTTCAATTAATTAGCAGGATGAGATGGCCGTGTTATTGCAGAAGGAAGCAGATTACAATCGCTCTAATCACGAGCACATTTGCACACATTCAACGCGAGAACAAGTGTTTCAAACGCAATTACACTTTAATCTCGAACGATCCAATATGTCTGCCAACCATAATCGATCTCAATCTATAGCTTCACTACACGTACAAAATCAAACATCGTGATTTATTTCATTCGATATAATATTATAATATTATAATATAATTTATTATATATCATATATTTATTGATCATATTATATTATGATATTTATTGATATATATGATGATATTATATTATGATATATTTATTGATGATATTTATAATATCATTTATTATATATTATATTATATATCATAATATTATAATATCATTATAATATCATTTGACTTGATATTAACCACACACACACAATTTCTTCTTGTATCATATTACAATAAATANTCATTTATTTATTCAAGTATAGTCCTCGGTAACCATGATCATTAGACCTGTATTATTCAGTCAAGATAAACAAAGATATAGTGTACATAAATAATTATAATTCCGATCATGAGAGAATGATATTCATTTATGAACGAGTATCAATTACATACATTCTTACCAGTTTGTTTAATAAATTATATTAGACTGCTGCTTCTTTTTCATTTTTTTTAATTCTATTATTTATTCTATAATTATTATTATATTATTATTATATAATATAATAAATTATTATTAAATAATATATTATTATTATTATTANAAGCTTTTTCATTCAATAAGACGTAATCTTATCTAAACACGGTTAATATTCATTACTCCTATACTAATTCAAGAAAAGGATCGAGAGAGAGAGAGAGAGAGAGAGACTTTCAAACCGCAAGCTTATCGCCGTGCACGTCACTATTTTCGAATTATCTCAAATTAGGGGCATAGGTTAAGTTCGCAACGGTAGATAAACAAATTTTGCCCAATAGATTACGGAAACATTATCTATCTATGCGAAGCGTAGATAAATGTTCGGGAAAACGGTAAAGTAAATACGCGAGTTAATAATAGAGAGTTCATGCAAAAGGAATAATAAAGAAAGAAGCAAAGTCGTTCAAAATTTGTCTGGTAAAACAGCATTCATTTTACATTACACGATCTTCTGCCGTCTAATCGCGAGAAATGTCTCGGAGATCATTTTCAATTAATTAGCAGGATGAGATGGCCGTGTTATTGCAGAAGGAAGCAGATTACAATCGCTCTAATCACGAGCACATTTGCACACATTCAACGCGAGAACAAGTGTTTCAAACGCAATTACACTTTAATCTCGAACGATCCAATATGTCTGCCAACCATAATCGATCTCAATCTATAGCTTCACTACACGTACAAAATCAAACATCGTGATTTATTTCATTCGATATAATATTATAATATTATAATATAATTTATTATATATCATATATTTATTGATCATATTATATTATGATATTTATTGATATATATGATGATATTATATTATGATATATTTATTGATGATATTTATAATATCATTTATTATATATTATATTATATATCATAATATTATAATATCATTATAATATCATTTGACTTGATATTAACCACACACACACAATTTCTTCTTGTATCATATTACAATAAATATACTTCTCCAGGCTTGTAATAAAGGACTACTACTTAACCTACTAAATAATTGCGATGCACGACTATTAAAGTCACGCTCACGAAAGACGTGAATAACTGCACATTAAACACGTAAAACACAGATGTACTTACGCGAACTTCCAATGCCAATCCTGCACACGTACATCGTAGATCAGATGTGTCCCATTAAATCGAATTTCTCGGAAACCAAGTCGTTAATTTATTAACCCTATACATACAAAATTACGCATTGTCACCGTTAAGTTAATATTTCAGAAATTCTTCGATATCTACGCGCCGATAGATACCTCGGAACTCCGGTATTCTCATGGTATAATGTATATACGCCAATGCCGATTTTCCGCGCTACGTGACAGGATCATTTTTTTTCGTCCGACAACAAAGCGCAAGTTATTAATTTAGTAAAGCTGAATCGCTGAAATCGCATACCGCGGCCGGCTCGGCTCGGCTCGGCTACGGTCGGCCGACCACGTGACAGTTATCGGGAAATATGGCGTGAAGTTGGCACGAAGATGGTTGTCGCGAGTTACGAAAGAGTCGACGATTTCTCGCGGGGAAGTCGCTTCCCGATCGTCCGGAAAAGTGCCGCACTGCTGTTTTCCCCTTTGGAACCAGCCAGCGGAAGGCAGTGCAATGTTATACGACATCAAGTGGATCATACCGAAGCTTCGTAACTCGAGCAGCCTCTGGAACATCGCGAGCAGTATAACCTTCGCGGCAGTAGGGATTTTCTCTAAAATCATTATAGGTAAGCGGCTACGCGAGCCGGTTTTCTCGTGGAAAATACGTGGTACTGTCCTTCGTCGTAAACCGCGCGGTTCTAACGGTGGTCCGTTCGATTATCGATCTAGAAACCGTCCGACGGGTCTCGCGAATCCATTTATTTTATAGCAGAACCGAGTCGACTCGTGTGTGTTGCAACTGTGAGAGTTCTATAGTTTATTCCCTATTAGCCGTGTTTGAATGGCAGGGATAACCAGCCGTGTTGAATCGCCGAAGGAATTGCTCGTTATTTCGCGGCCGAGGCGTGTGTAAATGCGAACGGGTTCACGTGCGGGTTAAACATCTCTGATTTATGTAATCGCGGTGCCACGAAATCGTACGATTTAATCGCCTTAACAACAGTCGAATCGAAACATTTTTTTACGCGATCACTGTTCGTGCAAGATAACGTGCAGGCACATTTGTGCTGGAAGTTCCAATCGTGTTCCTTTTCTACGTTCGATAATCCTTGGATTTTGCACGTTTCCAGTGTTCTACGAGAAATGATTTATTTGTACGAATGATTTCGTTTCGGGCATTCAACTTCTGTGATATCGAACAACAAAGCAAACACTGCGTCGCGCGGTATCGCATGATTTTATCGGTCGTATCGTGCTTCATCGGAGCTATCGATTCGGCTTCATGAAAGTGATTTGCAATGTCATTACCAGCTATTATGCGTTAAACCTGTTGTAGCATCGAGCAGACATCGAAATTGTTGCAACCGAGTGCTTGTTCCACGCTGTTTCCTTTTCCAAAGGTCACGCTATCCATATTTATGTGTCTCATTAATTGTTACGTGAATTTATTTCTCCTCCGCATACTTCTTCGACACGTGTTACACGAGTCGTTTAACAAAGCCTTCCATTCATACGCGTACAATCGCCTTCGACGTTTCTCGGTTTTCGAAAATCCTGTTCGACAGAGAGAGTGGACGCACTTTGAATTTCGCGCGCCCGTTCGAGTGTTTCCAAACCAAACAGAAAGTGGGTTAGATAATACACTCGCGGTCGCGCGCGTTACGAATAGACAAGTAAACACGTGCGTTACGCGATAAATTGTTTGGTCATCGTTTTACGCTACCAGTGGAATAAACGATTTCGTTGCAACTGTATACTGTGGGAAATTGTTTCTGCGAGCTTGCTACAAGGTTCCCTGCTTAACGTTTTAAAAATAGAAATAGGCTAATAATGTGAAACGGTTCGACATAGTAGGTTAATATAAAATCAACGTTCCCGATGATAGGCAATTTATTCGGCCCATGACATTTATCGGCCCTAGATACGTTTATGTTCGATTCGTCGTCGTCGTCGTCGTCGTCCGCCTCTTCCTTCTATTCGCATGAAATCATCATGGCGACCATTTATTATTTTAACACTTGGCCAACCGTTTGAAATTCAGTCGATTGACGACCGAATATTGATGATTAATGAAAAATGAAACATGATTGCTTAATTTTACTAAAATTTGCATATATAAGTTGGCTTCATAATTTTGGTTTAGTCGAATGAAATATTTTAATGGCCTCCCCGTTTGAAATTCAGTCGATTGACGACCGAATATTGATGATTAATGAAAAATGAAAAATGATTGCTTAATTTTATTAAGATTCGCATATATATATAAGTTGGCTTCATAATTTTGGTTTAATAGAATAAAATATTTTAATTTTATGAAAATTATTGAGGTTTCCAGCGCGGTCGTGGAAGTGTTAACCCTTTGCACTCTGTGAGTGGTTGCACTCTGAGGCACCGCTAAAATTGTTAATTCACGTCCCAAAATCATTTTTGATATTATCAAAGTTTAGATTTCAAAAATTGTTCAACCGTTGCACGAGTCATTTCGCGATACTCAATTTCGTATGCACAAAATGCACTTTATGTCATATAAAATGGAGACACTATATAAATCAGAAGAATTATTTTAGATTTATATATATTTATATATATATATATATATTTTATTTCATAAAATGGCTTCGAGCGCAAATGGTTAAGGTAATGCTGAACTTTGTAGGCTCCGAATTTTTTCGTTGCTTCTTAGATACGATGATTAAAGTCGCCTACTTAGAAATGATCCTCTATTAAACGGTGTTGTATCGAACGATCCTGTTTGCTAGCCCATTATCGTAGACCAGTTTGGTCGTACTCGCAACCTCCTGTTTTACCTTCGTGAACGTTGTACGTTCACGGCTCCTCGTCGACGTTGCGTTACTTAATTTAGAATTGTGGGACGTGTCTGGTTGTTTTATCGTTTCAGGTAGAATTCTGTATCCGCCCAACGAAGGGCACAGGAAATCAGTCGTTGGCCCTTGCCGGCCTTTCAGTGAGTACCACTGATTTACGAGGACGGCTCGGCGCTTACTTAGTGGCGATACAATAAACTTCGGAAATTAAGCGCATTACTCAATTGGTCGACCGCGTAGATGCGACATACGCGAGCGAGCCTCCCCCCACCCACCCCACATACCGTCCGTCCCCCCCTATCATACCTCTTTCTCCATTGCTCCCTTCTTGGCCACGCTGTCAATTTCTCCGTGTTGTAATAACAGCGAATCAGTATCAACGGCTCTCGACATTCATTTCTCTTGTATTCAATGTCACTTCACCGTTCCAGCCGCTTGCCTCTTCATTTTTCTATTGCCGATTTCACTCGCGTCGCTTCTGTCTGCTCTGTACATTTGAATTTCTATATATATATATATATATATAGTACGTATTTTTTCTTTTCATATCTTAATATATATTAATATAATATTAATAATTAATATAATAATAATATAATAATATTAATTAATATAATATGTTAATATATTAATATTAATAATAGTTACATAATTCTTTGCAGTCCACAGAGTGAAAATAAATGCATAAATAAATTTAAATATAAATTAAATATAAATTTTTAAATATATGCATAAATAAATTTATGCATATATATGTATAAAATGAATGCAGGCTATTTTATTTTCTTTATATATATAGTAGTAGTAGTAGTACTCGTAGTAGTTGTAAATGATTACAGGACAAAATTAGTCCTATAATTCAAAAGTTAATAGCATTTTTTTTTTAAATGACAAATTACAGTCCTATCTGCCACTGTTACTAGTGTATATTGATAGCGTTCTCTTCATGCCACTGGTGTATCGTACGTGACAGCGAACAATTAATGCTAATGATTAATTACACCGGGCAAAAGATGGAATTAACTTCATTACGCGAAGTTGCCACGGAACTGTTGCTTTTGCGAAGAATGGAAGACGACGTAATATAATCTCAAGGTCAACTGTGCCGTTGAACTTTCCTTCCGGCATTCGAAAAGCTGCGAGAACGACTTCATAAATAAATTAACCTCGCGATGACAATGGAAAACATTCGCTTTCATGTATAATACGTTATCAGCGGCGGAAGACGGATTTCTTCGACTATTCCTCGGAATACGATTCTTGTTTTTAAAAAAAAAATAAGAAAAGTCATTTCCCTAGTTCAAGAGCACATTGTGCGCCGCTATCAATTCTTATCAAACTAATCCCGCAACCGCTATCAATATCCACTATCAGGGGAAAGAGAATTTCGTGCAGAAGCCAGGCTACGTACTTTCGAAACACACGAGCACGGCGGGATGTACGATGCTTTTAGATGAGGTAAACGTAATTATAAACGCGCGTGTTGATAAAGAAAAAAAGATTGCGTCAGTTCCACGTAGAGCCAGGACAAAAGCCTGTTCCACCGCCCGGCGTAAATAGTTAACACGTTGAATGCCACGCCGGTTTTACAGAAATTGCCAGAACGGCGCCACGATGGATTTTCTTTTATGTGATATATATAATGTTGAAATATTATCTGCAATAGATAAGTTACAGTGTATAATCATGTTTGACATGTCAATTGCGACAGGGGTCACTGTTCGAATCGACGATGGTAATAATACAAAATTTTAGATATTGACATTTGTTTTAAATTATATATATATATATATTCCTATCAATTTGGGCGCGCCGGTCACCGGTGGCCCCCATGACGTCACCGCCAAGTTGAAGTGCCGCTCACCGGTGACCCCCGGTGGCATTCAACGTGTTGAACGCGTCCCATGCTTCGATACCTATGCGTCGCAGCCCTCTGTTCCTGGAAATGCGAGTTAATTTACCGAAGCGTTTGTTTTCTATTCGTGCTGTTTAAGAATGGCTAAACAAAGCGACGGTGTACAACAAGCATATTATGACACGGGCGCTAGACTGCCGGCCGAAAAATGTTCCTCTCATCACCATTTCGAACCATCACAGTTGCTTCGACGATCCAGGCATCTGGGGTAAGTTCTATCCGGCGTTACGACGAGATTACACAGTGGAACTCCATTTATGCCAGGCCTCCCAGCGTTAGAGCGCCGATGCGGAAGCTCGATAAATCCGCGAACCGTTTAATTCAGAAGCGGTGCGAGTCAATTGAAAAAGTAATATGGCTCGATCTGTCAGCAATTTTCTTTGGCTTCTCAACCCCTTTTGGTTCACGCT